AAAAAAAAAAAAAAAAAAAACACATAGTAAAACCAATACCTTCTCAACTTCGCATCGAAGCTAAAAATTATGACAGTTTTAAGTAATTTAATAACATTAAAGATACAACAAATATTATTTAGTTGAAGCAATCAGTTAAATTAATCCGAGCGCAGGTATGGCATCTAGTAATCAAAAACATAGTATTTTAATAAATTTTTTTTTATTATTAATTAGTTTTTTTCATGTATTCAAAATGGAATAACATATAAACGGACGCTCGGTACGATTAAAACACCATTTGATGAAATGGTGTTTTCAATAAAGAAATATTTTAGCTTCGATGCGAAGCTGAGAAGGTATTGGTTTTACTATGATGTGTTTTTTTTTTTTTTTTTTTGTGTCTGTTACCACTTTTTCTCAGCTCTCACCGAACGGATTTCTTTCAACGATACGTCAAAAGATCACAAATCGTATCTAGTCGAAGACATTACCCTTCAAAATTGAAAAAATTTCCCTCGTTCCCCGTAAATGGGGGAAACCTCCAAAAAAATTACAAATTTAAAAATCGCTAATTTTCGAAATTATTTCAATTTTTTTTACTAAAAACTGCCGTAACTTTTTCAAAAATGAACATATCAATATAATGTTTTTTTTAATAGATGTTTGATGTCTTTACCTATCATTTGGTTTATTTTTTTTGTAAATTTAACACTTAACCTGCTAACAGGGGGTGATTTAAAATAGTACCTTTTTCAACTTAACTTTTGAAAATGTTCCGGAAGGTCTGACACTTTTATATATATCTTAAATTAATGCTAATGTAATATACTTTAATTTAAAAAAAAAAAAATTTGACCTCTGGACTTGTCTTCGTGGTGAAAGTTAACATCAAAGTTAATAAAAAATTACGATTTTTGTAAAATAATTTTTTTTTATATTTTTAACTTTATAATGCTCTAACTTTTTGAAAAATGAACATATCAATATAATTTTTTTTATATAGATGCTTGATGTCTTTACCTATCTATTGGTATATTTTTTTTGTAAATCTGACACTTAACCTGCCCACAGGAGGGGATTTAAAAATTTTCATTCGACATACTTTGTCTTAATCGAGACATTAATAAGGAACCATCAGATCAAGAAGCTTTTGGAATAAAACACCAATTTTTTTTATATTAAACACTATCTAAAGATTTGCATCGAAGCGTTTATTTTTGATAGTGATTTTAATCACTTTCAGATATCATTATACTTGATCCAACTATACCACGGCACCACTGTGCCCCGACCCCCCTGTGCTGGGTTTTTTATTTGAAAATATCAATAAATTGTTTATATAATACATTATTTCGTTTGATTTTAATTATTAAATTTGAATTTTCTGTATTATTGAATTATTTTTTTAATTTATTAATTTTATGGTTTGGGTCACTGGTATTTAAAAACAAAATCAATGATAAATGATTACTTAAAATCTAAATATTTAAGTAATCCTGATACACTACCGCCTATTTTACAATACGCTTAATACACCGATATCTTCTCTTTCTCTTCAGCCACATTTTTACATCGAGATTCCAGTCTGATAGAGTATCATCGCTTTCTAGCTATAGCGCAATGTCTACATTTTAGGGCAAAAAAACTACATATTATTTATGTTTTTTGGACCTCTTATTTTTTTCTTTACAAAAATAAAAAAATATATTGGATTCTGGGAAGTTAATCAAATTTTGAATATTTTATATTATTCTATATTATTAATGCTAAAAATATATCATGTAGATATTACAAAAAAAAATTTTGTTGCCTAACTTATTTTTTATTTAAGCTATTTTAAAGATGTATTTATTAACATCAAGTGATTAAAAAGAGATATTTTGTTTACCAAAAAATATATACTGATACCAAAGATTAAAAATCAATATTTTAAATAGAAATTTATTATAAAGTCATTGTGCCGGATGATGTGTCCGATTAACTTTATTTTTCTTGATTCAATCGCCTTCATTAGCTGTCTTTCTTCTTGTACTTCTTCTAGCATTTGCTCATTTCTTTTCTTTTCTATACGATTTGTCTTTGTCATTTTTCTCTTTATCCATTACTCTAATGGTTATAGTTTGCTTCTGTCTTTCTTGTCAATTGTCCATGTTTCACTGACATATGAAAGCACACTCCAGACAAATGTTTTAACAATTATTTTACGTGTACAAATGCTCACATGTTTATTGCTGAGAAACTGATTCTTGTTTTGGAATGCTTGCATTACCAAAGCTATTTTTCTTCTAATGTCTGATGTTGATTTGTTATTGTAAGCTATAATACTTCTAAGGTAGTAGAATTTTCGAACTTGTTGTAATCGTGTATTGTTTATTTGTATATTAAGGTTAAGATATGAATGCATTTTACTTATAAGCATCGTTTTGTTTTAAATAGAATTTATTTTCATTTTAAATTTTTCAAGTGCATTTGATAGAATTCTTAGCATATTATTCATGTTATATTCAGACTCTGCTAAGATAACAATGTTATCCGCATAGTGAATACAGTGTATATGTTGACCATTTATTTTCACTCCATTGGTCTTGGTTTTCATTATATCTATGCTCATTTCTATAAAAAGATTGAATAGATAGGATGACAAGAGATATCCTTATCTCACTCCTCTTCTTATTCTTGCTTCCTTTACCGATCCATTTACTTTTATTTCTATTGTTTAATCTTTATCTTTAAGTTAAAGATGAGTTTATCTATTTAATCAATTCATTTTTTCTTGATATCTTAAATAAGATTTTCCAATTCATTTTATCGAAAGCCTTTTCTAGATCTATAAATGTTGATATAGTAATTCTATTCAGTGTAATTCTTCTCTCAAGGATCTGTCTCGCTTCTCTTGTTCCTTGCCCTTTTCTAAAGCCAAAATGATCTGCCGACATATTTTGTTCTGTGTTCTCACTCAATCTGCTCTTGATAATGTTTAAAGGTATATTTGAAACATGAGAAAAGAGCGCTATAGTTCTATAGTTTCCACATTTTGTTGCATTGCTTTTTTTCGGAACTGTTATATTTTCACTTTTGACAAAATTCAGTGGTAGACTTCCACTATTATAGCTATCTTTAATGATTTTAAACAATTGATATTTTGTCTTTTTTCCTATAAGTTATTCAGTAGTTTAGCCATAATATCGTCAATTCCGGTTGCTTCTTATAAATGAAAAATATGGATGCGGCAGATCAGTTCTTGTAGGCTGAAACAATAAAGCTACGATGAAGCTGAAAAATAAACTTTAAAATACTAGAATTAATGCATCCAAATAATTACATAACACTGTTTAGAAAATATCTAGAAACTTTTATAAAATAATTTTTTTATACTTACATATTTTTTTTTAACCAGTGCGATGTTTTTATCACAAAAGAAGTTTTTCAACAAAAAGAATAAATATAATTATTCATATTATAATCATTTATTTTTATTATATTAAATACAAAAATAAATAATGGTTTTAGCGTTTTAATTATACAAATTTATATTTTTATAACTTATTGAAATATTTTTAATATTAAATTGTAGGAAGTATGCTGATGAAGACAAAATTTACAAAAAAATTATCATAAATTATTTTCAAATATTATGTTAGAAATCTGGTAAATAATATTTAACAATGAGTAAATAGTAATTTTATGAAATTTACTTTTTTAAATCAACTTTTTGATATCTAGTTCTTACTTTTTCAGAAAGGCTAAGTAGATAACTAATCAATCTAATTTATAAAAAGTTTAATAATTCTGTCCTCTTAATTGTTGTTGAGACAATCAACTTTTTTGAAACCCAGATCTTCATAACAAAATTTATAAACATTTTCACAAAAATTGTCAAAATAACTACACGCATCAATGTAAATTTGGGTTAACAGTAAAGAATTTGTTTTATTCGTTCTGTATACTGATTTTCTGAAATTTCTAACAATTGTATATTTATCATACAAAGATTCTTTCATAATACAACGTCTGTTTATTTTTACCATATCAGTAATTATTTCAATATAAAAGTTATTACGAAAATGTAGAAATATTTTCAGTAGTATTTCAATCTTCTTGATATTCATACCCTGTTGGTCAACAAAATTATCACGAGAAAATTCATTGTTCTCTAATAAATTAAGAAATTCTGTAATCCATTTAAATATTTTATGTAAATTTGAATGAGAGTTTAAATTAAAACTCCATATTGATGATTTCTTTAAAGTAATTAAAGCTGTATTCAATCCTTCAAACATTTTTTTGGATTTATTGAATGAGTTAAATAATTCAATCAGACACTTGTGTTTGAATATCTTTGCATCAGTATTGCATACAAACAAAATAGCAGATAATAATACATGGTAGTTTTTCATTATTTCTGTATACCTACAACGTAATAATTGTGTTACATGCTCTTTTTTTATTTGAAAATTCATGTGATCAATTGGGTCTTTCATTACACAATCTACGGTATATTGTTTACCATTATACATTATATTTATGTGCTCCATTGTTTTCCAGCCATTTTCCTGACGTAGAATATTTAGAACTTTAATACCTTCATAGTGATTAATTGATGAATCTATTGGCGGTGTGAGTCTATATTAATCAATATTGTTATAATTACAACAACAAATTATATATGACAACAATTTATATATTATTAGTAAATTATTGTTTTATTTCCATTCATAAAATCTTACAAATGTGATTAAGAAAATAGAAATTTCATTGCAATATTTAATAAATTAGAAATCAAAAAATGAATTTGGGGATAGTAGTATTAGTCATATTATTTCTTTCATACATTAAGTCTTATTACAGTTTTGTTTAATTGGCATGGATAATTTTATTTCTAAAACTAATTACACATAAAAATGGGTATTTATATACAGGGTGATTTTTTTTATCATAACCCACTCAATTACTTGCAGAATAATAATAATTTAAACATTTTTTTTTTTATTATTATCTTTAGTTACACATTATTCTTGAATTTTTAACTAAGTAATACTTTTTAAGTTCATCCCTTATGCCTTAGAGGGGTGTCAACTTTGTTTTTTTAAATGGTAACACGTATTTTTAATTTAATAAAATGTTTGAGTTTTTAATTTAATAGTAAATGGCATTTGAATTTTTAATATAACTTTATTAGCTTATTAGATATAAACATTTAAAGTTTCAAAATTTTGAGTTAATATACATGTATAATACACATGGGATTGTAAATACAGGTAGCTAATTGGATTTTTATGACATTGCTGTCTCAGTCACGGATTGTTTATTATCAATTATGATTATCAATAGATATACTTTCTGTATTGTCAGTTAGTGTATTTATAAACTCATAACAATGTGCCTTACTACAATTGATAATAACAATGCTGTGTACCTGCTAATATCGATGTTATAAAAAACCAATTAGCTACCTGTATTTGTAATCCCTTGTGTATTATACCTGTATATTAATTCAAAAATTTGAAACTTTAAATGATTATATCTAATAAACGAATTAAGTTATATTAAAAATTCAAATGCCATTTACTATTAAATTAAAAACTCAAACATTTTATTAAATTAAAAATACGTGTTACCATTTAAAAAAACAAAGTTGACACCCTTACCAGGCATAAGGGATGAACTTAAAAAGTATTACATAGTTAATAATTCAAGAATAATGTGTAACTAAAGATAGTAATAAAAAAAAAATTTTTAATTATTATTATTATGTAAGTAATTGAGTGGGTTATGATAAAAAAATCACCCTGTATATATATGAAACTAAATTGAAAAAATATTTAATACATTTGTACATAAATTACTGCTTATAATGATTCTAAACAATTTCTAAAATATTATCTTTGCAGAATATTATTTAATCAACTATTTTAATAGATATTATAAAATATGGATTTATTATTTTATATAAAAAATAAAAAAAAAGTTTCTTTTATTCAATTGTAAGATTAAAATATAAAAATATTTTAAATGTAGTCATACTTACTCAAGTGTATTAGGGTTGATAAATTCTTCAAAGCCAAGATTTTTGTACCAAATTTCTATGGTTTCGTTGTAAAATGAATTAAGTTTACTACATGTTAAATACACTAAGTATGAGTCGTTTCCGTTAGAGCATTCCTTAAGTTGAAATGTTAAGTCAGTTTTTATAGAAGTGTCGATGATATTATTATTTTGAAATAGATTGTTTACTTTTTCTAATGCTTCTGTATAAAATTCATTTAAATTCTTAAAATTCGTTTCACAATCATTAAGATTTGGTATGCTATTGAGGTCAAAAGAGCTGATCTCTGTTATTTGTTGTAAGACATATTTTTGAAAAAAGTCAATTTCATCAATTATAACATTCGTCACAATGGATCCTTCAAACACAAATCTTACATCTATAAAGCTTAAAAACTTCATAGCATTGTAAAGATTTTCAAACATAATCTTTGAATTTTTCACTTCTTCTACGAGTGATGTTACACAACAAATAAGGTTTTCCGACAAATTTCTAGAACGAAATTGCTGACATTTATCAATAATAATATGCATGTAATCGAGAAATTTTTTTAGTATTTCAGTGTACTTGAAATTGAGTAAACTAATTGTAATAGAATATTTACTTTTAAAATTTTGCATAAACTCGTCTTGTTTGAAAGCTTCCTCTATATCAACATTATAATTTGAATCTCGTTTCATTTTCAGATTTTGCATTTCATTTGATCCAATATGTTTTCGAATATGATCCTCTATTGTTTTGATATAATTTTTATAATTCAAACGATATCTTAAACGTTTATCTGCTTCACTTGGTTTCAATACAAAAACGACCATAGACATTAAAATCAACGAATAATATTCCATTAAAAATAAAATTAACTCGTTGTATACTAAGGAAGATTTAAAATGAATATATTTAAATGTGTGTATTATTATTTTATATTATAGTATTGCGAGTGAAAAAATGTGTTTAAAGTATGTATATCTTTTTTATATATCTGTTAAAGAATAACATTGATTTATATTTTGTTTAATTAAATAATTTTTACAGAATACATAGATTTATTAGTATTTATTTTTTAATATATTTACGAATATCGTCTTAAAATGTTTTATTATGAACATTAGTTACTTATAAGAATATTTTGAATTGTAATATAGTAATTCATATAATGAGACCTAATAATTATCATTGAAATTAATTTAGTTTTAATATTTAACATTTTTATTTTATAAAAAAAATAGCTACAGAAAATGGTTAATTAAAATTTTTATTGATAGTAATTATCTGATATGAATTTTGTATATTATACTAGTTATCAAACGTAAATGATGTTCTTCAATATAAAAAAAATAATAATTTTGTATTTAGTGGTAAGTTATAATACAAATATTTGGAAGTTCTTAGAAAATATAAAAAATATACTTCAAAAAACGCAAAATACTACTGTATAATATACATATATAAGTGCATAACGCTTTTATTTAAATAAAAGGTGGCCAAATTCGTTTTTGACCACCACTGTTAAAGAAATTCACAACAAATCAAAGAAGAGTTAAGCAAGTCATCAATAATTATAAACTTTACAACCCACTACTTGTACAAAAACAAATGAATAACTCATCTGTCATAAATATTACTCTGTCATACATTAGCTATTATACTCATACATACTTACATACATACTTGCACATATATAGTTTTCAACTTGACATTGTTAGTCATATACCTTATCTTGAAATAATATTCAAGTAATTTTTAATTATTATAATAAAATGAGATTCATAAAAGCACTGATAACATAGTTCTTTTATTAAAAGGTGTTTTAATTACAATATAAAAACTATTAAAATCTTAAACATCTTGCTCAGTTTTCGAGTCTTCTTAAAAGCAACCATAACTTTGCAATATTTTTGAGTCGTAATCCAGTATTGTAGTCATGGTTTCATTGAACTACTTACAAACCAGCCAATTACTTTAAAAATTAATTTATTTTAATAAAAAATGAATAATTTAAAAAAATAAACAGAGTAATACAAAGAAGTATATAGCAAGTGAGTTAATATATTACTCTTATTATAACCATTAATAATCTGAGTACAGAATATTAAAACGATTGGTCAAGCACAATTACACTATTAATTTATTATAGTTCGGAATTTTAGATGGACACTTCGACTGGGGTTTCCTTTCTTTGAAGGCCCGATTGATGCGCTCCCTCCGACNGTCCTTCCTTTCTTTGAAGGCCCGATTGATGCGCTCCCTCCGACGTACGTCGGAGGGAGTAAGCTTCCTATACCCTGGGTGTGCCGGTGGCGGCCGGGTGGCCGAGCCCGTCCCGGAGGACGTGCTCGCCACGTCGGCCGCTCTGTCCCGGGTGTAGGGCGCCGGGGCTGGACGGTCGGCGGCCCGACGCCGTCGGCCCGTCGAGCGCTGCACCGCCGCGCCAGCGGCAACCGGGCTCTGTGTGGGAGAGGCACCACCCTCCCCCGGCACAGACCGCGGGACCACCGGCACGGTGGCGATAGCTCTTCGGGTTTCGCGGAGGGACGCCGCACGGCCGTCCCTCACTCCCCGGGTGTAGAAAGCGTTCGCGATCGGGTCCCTCAGGATCTGATGCAACGCTGCACTCCGGGCCGCCTCGACCGTCGCACGGATCGCCGGGACGTTGGCCAGCGGGACGTCGAGCGCCTCCGCCAACCGGCGAAGGAGGTTGCGCACCAGGCCGTCACGCTCTCCACATTTCCGACAAGACATGCTGAAAATAAAACAGCCCGTTAGCACTACTATACCTCGACGACGGCCCGTACTCGGGCCGTAATTTGTAGTACATGACAACTATTTTAATTTTAAACATGCTACGTGAAGTTTGCGTGGGGGATTTTGATCTGTCAGAAACACCCCTTTGCCTACTTTTTCCGCTAGTCTGACAGGGCCCCACCACTTCGGCGCGAAGCCGGCACAAAATTTTTTTTGTTTATTAGATAAGTGGTGTGCTTTATAATACACCACGTCTCCGACCGTAAAAGGTTTTACTACGTGTTTCGTCGGAACGTTATCTACAATTTTGCCGGCCTGCGGTTTGGGTGATGGGCGGCTATTGTTTACATTGTCGGCCGTCGCCGTGTTTACATGTACGACCGCCCAGTCACCAGGTCGTTTCGCCTCTCGGCCGAGAACGAGTACGGAAGGCGGATAACCGGTTTTTTCATTCCGACGATTACGCAACGCAAATAATATCGACGGTATTTTAGTGTCCCAGGTGCTATGGTCGCCCTCTACTAGTAGGGCGCGGAGACCTTTTTTTAGCTCCTGATTTTTTCGTTCTACCGGATTTGCGCGCGGATGATAAATAGGTGTGGTCCAGGCTTCCGCCCCCCATCTATTTATCGCGTTAATCATTTCGTTAGAAACCAGATTCCGTCCGTTGTCGCAAAGCAATACGCGGGGGTACCCAAAACGTGAGAAAAATTCGCGTTCGAGCGTGTCTACAATCGTTTTTGTAGTCGCTGCGCCTATCGGGTACGCTTCGGTCCAGCGACTGAAACAGTCAGTTGCTACTAACAGGTTCGTTTTCCCCCTTGATGTTCTGGGGTACTCACCCATTAAGTCGATACTAATGACCTCCCACGGTTGTCTTGGTTTGCGCGAAGTTAGAGGATCATTCGGACGCCTATTTAGGGCCTTTGTACACGCGCAAACATCACACGATTTTACGTACTCGCGTACTATATTTTTCAGGCCCTTCCAATAGAAACGTTGTTTGATCGCTCGGTAGGTTTCTTTCCATCCTGGGTGACACGCCAGCGCATCGTCGTGGTATCGCCAGATCACACGCTGTGATTTGGCTACTGGTATTACGGCTGGTGTGTCTACGCCCATACGAATGCGTATAAGTCCGTCTAACATGAAATATTCGTTGTTGTTCTTGCTGGACTCCTTATCGTTTTTTCTGGCGTTCCCCTTGAGCAATTGTTTCATAACGGATGAAAGAAACGGATCGTCGTTTTGCCACTCTTGTATTTCCCCCCCCGTAAACGGCCGTTTATATAACGCGTCGTTTGTTTCGGTTAATGCAAAAACATTGTCAAGAGTGGCCCGCGTATTATCCGACGCTCTCGTTGTCGGTGCGCCCACCAGATTGTCGTCGAGTAACTCTTCGTCAACAGGGGGCCCCGCGGTCGGATAACGTGACAGCATGTCCGGTCCCTCGTTGTGTTTCCCGGGTACATGTGTCGTTGTAAAATTCAAATTACCTAGATGTAGCGCCCACCTAGTTAATTTTGAATTGTTGTCCTTTGCTCTGTGTAGCCAAGTCAACGCGGAATTATCTGTAAATAATTCGAACGGAGAGTACTCTAAGTACGGGCGAAATTTATCAGTCGCCCATATAATTGCTAAGCATTCTCGTTCTACAGCGGCGTAACGTTTCTGCGTTTCTGAAAGTTTCTTACTGGCGTAGGATATGATTCTTCTCTCTCCCGGTTCATCTCCGTGTTGAAAGAGTATTGCTCCCACGCCCATTTCACTCGCATCGGTTTGAAGGCAGAAAGTTTTCGCGTAGTCAGGAGGACTCAGTCGTGGGGACTCACACAGGGCCTTTTTTACCTGTTCAAAAGCCCTTTGATGGTCTTCCGTCCACAACCATTTCGTCCCCCTTTTTAGTAGATTTGTCAGCGGCGCTATTGTTTCGGCGTAGTTGTCGACGAATTGACAATACCAATTAAATATGCCGAGACATCTACGTAGGTCCCTGATATTCCGTGGGACCGATAGGACGCGGATGGACTCGAGTTTTTCGGGCTGCTTGTCTATGCCCTCACCGTGTACAATATGGCCCAAAAAGGAAATTTCGGAAAATCCTATTTTACACTTTTTTGTGTGACATGTCAGCCCGTGTCGCTCTAATCGTTCTAGAACTTTGCCTAAATGTTCTAAATGATTTTCTAAACTACTTGAATAAATGATTATGTCGTCCAAGTAAACTTGGACAAAATCATCTAGATATCCTCTAAGTACTTCATTCATAAGTCTTACGAAAGTCATAGGCGAATTTTTGAGTACAAACAGTAATACACGAAATTGAAACAAGACCCTTCTTGTTCTAAATGCCGTAAACTTACGGGCTTTTTGATTTAAAGAGCATTGCCAATAACCCGACTTTAAGTCGAGAGTCGTGTACATTTTTGCCCCTCTCATGTTCCTAACCATGTCGTTTAGATTAGGCATGGGGTACGCGTCCGAAACGGTTACTTCGTTTAGTCGTCGGTAATCTATACATAAACGAAAAGTCCCGTCCTTCTTCTTGGCCAGCACTATCGGTGCTGACCACGGCGATACACTCGGTTCTATTAGCCCCTGCGCCTCCATGTCGTTTACCATATCGTCAATAACCTCCTGCTTGTGCAGAGGGTAGGGGTACGGTTTTAGTGCGATAGGAGTCGGGTCTTTCAATAGAATATCGTGCTCGATTAATTTTGTGCGACCCACCGTGTCGTTAAAGACCGCTGCGTAATTACATATCGTCTGTGTTAATAACGCGCGCGTTCGTGGGTCGCCGGTTATATCTAACTGCGTCAGATCTGGTTTGCGGATCGTGTGTCGTGCGCCCGATTTCCAACAAGCGGTTGTACGTTTCCTATTGCCTAAGTGTATTGTTCCTGCTGAGTAGTCCCAGGCGACTTTCTGATCAATCAGAAAATCATGGCCAAGTAACACGTCGCAATATAGGTCGTCTAAAATAACCGCTGAAAAACGCACTTCTAAATCCGCGATTTTGGCGGTAAACGTGGCGGTACCGTTCGTCGTGGCGGTATGTCCGTCCGCTAGTCTAACCGCGTCAGTGTGTCCTTTATAAACAGTTCCGTATTTATAAGCAATTACCGGTTTTACATACGATTTATGCGCCTGTGAGTCGAGTAG